GACTTCTCCCTCCATGAAGCTTCTTGATTCTTGTTCAGGCCTCTCACTTAACACATAACCGGACTTAGTGTATCTTGAAGTTGCTGTTTAACTTGACGAGTGCACATATGCTACTCGTTGAGAGGTGTAGGGGACAGGTGGCAGGACCAAGGTCATATATAATACATCTCTGGAGAACCCACAGTGCCAGGCACAATGCTGTTTACGTTAGCATTCTCTAAGTATTTGTCGACAGATTTGCATTTCTATTCAGTGCTTTATGATGGTCTGAGGAATAATTAATCCCTGGGAGAAAACAAGTACTGGTCCATTATGAAAAAAATAAATGGGCTTATTGGTTTTAGGAAATGTTAACAGACTATAATTTAAGTAATTTATAAGTAAATGTTATTTTTTTTTCCTATGACAGAGTGTCATGGTTAGGCCAGTCAGGTGTAGATCACTTAAGGACTTGGCACAAAATGTTATGAGGGAATTAACTGTTTAATAGCAAAGGACTTTGAACAGTATCTATCATTAGAGACTAATAGGAAGGGTGAGAGTAACATTATCGACATGTACATAAGCACACACGGTATAGGAAACGATTAGAAATCTAAAATGTAATGTGGCAGTCTCATTCATTCATTCATCCATTCGACACACTTACAGAAAACTTACTGTGTGACAGGCCATTTTAGGGGAACCAAAGGGGAATGAGAAATATCAGCCATTCAATGTTGACTCTCTAAGGCAGATCCAAACAGAATCAATCTAAAAAATTTATCTACCCATGTCCATGGAAAACCATAATACTCTTGGTTAAAGTGCATGAAAATACTTTATCTTATTGCCTTAAGCAATGCAAAGTTTTCCTTGGCCTAAACACCAGCAAACTTCAATTATCCTAGAAACTCCTTCAAAGAGACACTGTTTTATTTTGCCCATCTCCAAACTCCTAGGCTCCCATGTTGTTGAAGAAGGATGCAGAAATGTGCTATAAGCAAGACAGGTAAACTTGCCCAGAGCTGTGTCTAAACAAAAGTTCACTACTTGTGATGAGCACAGTGCTGGCACAAGTACTGAGTCCCTATCAATTCATCGGGCAGCTGCTGACACATTCTTATGCGTCACAGGAGCATAACATTTTCCTCTAAAACTTAAGGGAAAAGGCAAAAATAGAAAACCTTTTACCAACCACAAAAATGTATGTTTAAAATACTGTGGAATAAAAAATGAGCTGCGATATACTTTTAAAACCAGAGAAAATAACAAGTATCTCCCTATGCTCAACTACAACCTTCTGAATGGAAACCAAAGCAGAAATGTTGTGGTTTCACCTAAACAGCTTTGTGATGAGGCAACTTAAAATGACCTATCCATTAGGTAAACTAAAAGGAAGACGACAGGGGCAAATCTACCCTTTTCAAATCAGAACCCATTTTTCAAGTGTGTTTTTAGAAGAAAGAATGTAATCTTTAAGAGATCAGTGGGCTTTCATTTAACTAGAAACTGACTAAACCAGAAATCAGTAGTTTTAAAATCTATACAATTTGACAAAAAAACTTGACTATTGAATCTGAATTTTAAAATTAATATGTAACTGCTCTGTTCTTGTTTTAAATCAAAGGGCTTTCTTTTAGTACTGCAAAGGAATGAGCACTTAGTCTATCTCATGGAGGAAGGAGCGGTTTCTAGTCTTAGAAAACAGGAGATCGCCCACATGATCACCTGGGACAAACTTGGCCAGTGCGAGCAGGCTAGAAGGTTATAGGAGCCTGGGAATGTTTAACATCAAGAAAGGAATTACAGCTCAGTAAGATCACAGGGAATTACACAGGAAATGTGAACAGTAACCCTTTCATATCTCCATACCCCTCCCACTGCCTGTGATAAATGGAGTCCTGCTGCCTGCCGTCCAGCTATGCAAATGCACAAGCCAACAGCAGGGGAGAACTGGGAAAAAGGAAAAAATCCATTTTATATACACACAGAGCAACAGCATAAATTCATAATGACATGATAAAATCACGTTGCTCTAGAAAATAGCCTGTAGCCTTTCTTACTGCCACGTGTGCACTGTATCACTGCCTTATCCAACAGAGCCCTAAGTAAAAATTCCAAAGAAACTTGAAGAATCAGGCGGGGGTGGGGGTAGAATAGTTGGCGGAGTCATCTTAAGTAGGAAAACGTGGCTCCTCTGAAGCTGACCAAACAAACAGGTCTCCACCCTGGCTTATGTTTAAACATCTTGTTCCTAGTCAGTCTGGAGGGAAAACATTCTTTCCACAATAAATAATATGCAATCGAATCAGAAATTCTTACTCCAGCTTTGTCCCCTCAGTGCAAAAGTTTCTTCAGTACTTACTGTAAGCCAGAAGCTGAGAGAATTCAACTGATTACAAACTTTTTGTTTTAAGAGTGACTTAGTTATACGAAGTCAAGGCAATTTAAAATATTTCTAGTTGTTCATTTTGAAAGGCTAATGTGACTGTGCAGATCCTATGCTCTTTAGAGACTCCTAGTTGGCATCTCAAGAAAACAAGCTACCTTTACTACAACGGCTTCTGAAAAAGGGAAATGCTCAGTTTCTATAAACAGGTGAGTTTGAGAGAGATTAATTAAAAAAACAAACCAAAAAATCCTTCATGGTCCTCAGATAATAAGGGCATGGGTGGGGTATCACAATAAGATGAATTAAGAGAGTGATTTTTCCAACGGGCTAAGTTTAAAATATGGACTGGAATTTCATAGGTCACTTTGGAACAGGATTTAACTTTTCCCACTGGTATAACATTAGAATAGAGATGGTAGGCCACTAAGAGTAGGTCAAGGAATAAATGAAAGTGAGCACAGATGACAAAGCATACCACCAATAAAAGTGAAAAGGGTAAAATTTTTAGAACTATCCAGAAGCAGAAACAATAAAGCCAAAGGATTTATTTTCCTGCAAAGTGCCTCCTCCAAAGCACACGTATCTTCTTTAAGAAATAGCCTATACCAGTAGTGTTTTTGTACAATAAATGGCACACTCAAATGTCAAATGAGATTTCACTTACACACTTCCTAGTCACCTTAAAGCCAAACAACTGATGTCTAACTTCTGTAGCACTGGCTCACGAGTAGGCAGTCCCATGACTTTGCAACAAGCTAAAGGTGCTGCCCTGACCAGTGTGGCTTAGTTGGTTGAGCGTCATCCAGTGAGGTGAAAGGTCTCTGCTTCGATTCCCTGTCAGGGCACATGACTAGGTTGCAGGTTCAGTGCCCATTCAGGTCACATACAAGAGGCAACAGTCCATGTTTCTCTCACATGTCAATGTTTCTCTCCCTCTTTCTCTTTTCCTTCACCTCTCTTTAAAAATAAATAAATAAAATCTTTAAAGGTGCTATTCTTTCCATGGATTTAGAGTTGCTATAAAATTTACATTAGGAAAACATTAGCACAATGAAAGGGCATAAAAATGATAAACAAACTCCAAATAATAAACCAAATTTCTGATTGGGGTGCCAAGAGAAAATTAATTCCTCATTACAGTGTGGACCCTGAAGTGCAACAAGTGGAAACTCAATGGAAATATCTTCTCAGCTGGAAATGAGAGCTTTCTTTTAGTGCTTCTTAACCATTTTTTACTCCTGTCTTATTCTGTTACACATAAAAGCTTTATACCCTCATTATGTATTATTTGAGATTTCAATTTAAATATTACATGGTCAAAAAGAAACTATAGCAAGATAATTTTTTGTTTTTCCTAACAATGCTCTACAACAAAATTTGTTAGCAAATGCTTCTATAAGTAGACAGATATTAATACTTTACTGTTATTTTGCAGACAAAAAGGTCAAAGATATCTACAAACACTAATGTATTGATGAAAATGAAGTGATAACTGTTGGGACCTTCACCATTATCTCCTCTAATGGAAAATTACTAGAGATGATGTTTTTAGTTCTTACATTAGGCTTGAAGAAATGCTGACTGATACATATTAGGCCTTCAATATTTGTTAAATGATTCAGCAATAAGGCCTCTTTTTTTTATCCTGAAAATAACAGTGCCCTAATATAGAATTCTCTTTCAAATAATAAAGGATAGAAGCAAGCAGTATAAGCCTTCAGTATAGAGACAATAGTAAGAAGACACAAATTGTAGATAACCTTGACAATAATTATGATAATAAAAATGGCAAAAGTATCAGCACATTTGTATGCTACTTTGCAATGTATAAAATATTTTATGTAATTTCAACCCCACAACTTTATAAAGATATTATTTGATTGAAATAGCATCAAGTGGCTTTTTCAAAGTTACCCAGCTAATTAAGCAGCGTAACTGAAATTCAAACCTGACAGCTATCCCATTCATTAAAAGCTCTTAACTTTGTCATGAAATTTTGAAAATATCTTCGTCCAAACTCCAAAATCAGGTATAAATAATAAGCACAACCTTTTTTTCTCTTAACTCACCCAGTATCACTCACTCCCTTTCTACTAATTCCCATAAAAATTCTCAGAATTCCCATCACAGCAGCCTTTACTTCCTCATACCAGTATGACTAAGGGCACAATGAAAAGCACCTTTCAAAAACAAACCTCCCTTCCGCTAGGTCTTATATCCTGTAAGTGTCCCCCCAGACAAGGACATCATTAAAGGCATAAGCTTTGAAAAGCATCAACTACCAAGAAAATGTCAGGCGTTGTCTCTTCTTCATCCAGAATGAGTCAGATATGACACATACACTCCTTCGTTCCTAAAAGGTGAGTAGAAGTCACCCTCTTATTCCCAGCCTTCTGGCTTAGCGAGGATGCTCACTCCAAGGGGCTGGTAGAGAAAGGCTGATGGCACATGAATAACAAAGCTAACAGAACTTAAAGTTATATTCTTATCAATTTTAAAAAATCATTGTTTTATTTTTGAAAATTTATTAAAGGTCGATAAACGAATGGCATTAGCAATTTAATGTAAATGTGAGGTATAACGAAGGTAACATTTTATTCATATGAAATGAATATAGAATACTTACCTCTGTCAACTAAAGGTCACTGCTACCGATCCAACAGGAATCCCCAATCTGGGTTGCGGTAAAAAGGTGAACAATATGCAAACTGGGGAAACGCAGCCTCCGGAGAAAGCCAAAGGTGTGTTCCACAAAGACAAAGGGGAGGACGCTTTTTATAGGGAAGTTCCTACCCTGGTTCAGGATTGGTTCGTTTCTATGCCGATGAGGAATCCAAACAGCATAGTTCCCATTGGTCCAAATACCACTGTCCTGATTGGTCCGCTTTGCGCATTCTGTTTAGTCGTTATGGAACTGCTCTGACTGGTCAGTATAAATGCAAATGAGGTTATAGCGGCAAAGTTCCGAGGGACAGGGCAGGTCTCAGCGTGCTAGTTGAAAGGCGATACCAGGAGCTCCCTCATAAGGGTCACATCAGAGAGCAGGAACACAGTGCAGGCGGCTTGGAAGTTCAGTCTATGGCTTTTCCTGAAATGCAGCATTTGTGAGAGGCCTCTGTTAGTAGTGGCTGCTAGACCATGATTATGATTTTGGGCCTAATTAACCATGAGGAATCCTTCCTAGCAGATATATTCCTCCTCAGGGTTAACACCTCTGAAGCTTATTATGAAGACTATGAAGCTAGATTACATGAAAAATGCTAAACATCTTGCCTAATCCATAATAACTACTCAATAAATACCTGTTGCTATTACCAATTTGATACTCCCATAAATATTATAGTAGTTTCAAAAACAAAACATATAATGAAAGGTCATATTTAAAATGCACCAGAAAACAACACAACCTGTAAATTATCTTAACATATATTCAAAACAAATATCTGTTTTTGTGCATAGAAATACATTCATATAAATATTCAGGAAATGATTTGGAAGAACCGGCAAAATGATGACCTCTGGGAAGGTGGGAGAGTGATTTTTTTAAAAGTATTTTTGTATTCCTTCTGTAAATAAAACAATGTTTTAAAAAAACAACATATTTAGACAAAATATTATCTTAGTTTCTCAATTCCATAGTTGATTTCAGTATTACATGAAAAAGAATACTTTTATTTTTAGTTAATGCGTCCAAATGAGAACTAAAATCTCATTTTCTTGCCCTGGACAGTATGGCTAAAGCATCCTGTAAACCAGAAGGTCTCTGGTTCAATTCCCAGTAAGGGCACATGCCTAGGTTCAAGGTTTGGGCCCCAGTCAGGGCACCTACCAGAGGAAACTAACCAGCCGATGTTTCTCTCGTATATTGATGTTTCTTTATCTCTCTCTCTCTCCCCTTTCCCTTCCCCTCTCTCTAAAATCCATAAGCATGTCCTCTGGTGAGGATAAAAAAGTAAAATCTCATTTTTTTAAATTCAAACTTTATGGTACACATTGCATTCAATAATCTTCCTAATGAGATTCCTAATTGCTATATTAAAAAATTCCTGCTTGTGCAAAAAAAGAAAAGAAAAAAATTTATTTTATTTAGTCTTAAAACCACCCAATGTATTTAATCAAGGTGCAAGGAGGCTTTCAAAGGCCAGGAAGTCATAAATCAAAAAGGCTTTACATGAAAAGATTACTTTTCCTCTTAAATTTTGTATGTGTGTATATTTAATTCACCACATACAGAAAGTTGAATGCTTGATTCTTTTTAAAGCCAAAAGGTTGCCTATTTAAAATCATCCTAACAATTTCAAATGTCTTGAGGGTTTCTTTAATTAAAAATCTTTCCTTCTAGGCTCTTCCTAACTTCTAATTCTTGTCTGTACCATATTGATGCTGGTTTTAAAATTCTAACTTTCCTTCTAGTTTACAACCATAACTTTGACTTTTTCATTTCTTTCTTTTTTCCTTCAGATCAGCTAGATTTGAGCCTATAAATTGTGGGCAAACCAGATTACCAAAGCTCTCATTAACTCCCTGAGAGCAGCAAACAGCGGGCCTCCAGGCATGGAGATAAGCCACATGTACCACAGGCCCAACCAGGCTGGGCCCCAGGAATTTACAAATCCAGCTTATAAATTAAAGGCCTCTAGTGTTATAAAAAGAGAGAGACATTTGAAAGGATGAGAGATAGAGAAAGCATCCTCTCATTGACCAGGAGGACACTGGGCTGAACAGGAAATCCCCACCTCAAAGAGCTACGGGATTCAGCTTTTGATTGTGGGAGGCTGTGCAATCTCTTTGAGATATATTTAAAATTCAACAAAGTTCTTTTCTGTAACTTAATGGAGAAGAGTATCTGATCAAAAGGTATTGCCTAGAATTTCAAATAAAAAATTCTAGTTATACTTTGTAGCTAAGACAGGGCAATTCCAACAATAATTATAATAAAAGACCACTTTATTTCTAGAAAATGAAAAACATGTGTATAGATGCTTTTTTTCACCTAGGTGCTCAGTTATGGACTCATTAATATTAAGCTGCTGTACCTGTAAAAATGTACCATGGTTTTTCCAGCAGACAACTCCCTTAATTCTATAAGTCTTTACTTAGCACAGTAGTTAAGAATGTGCACTTTGGAGCCAAATGCCAGATCTACTACATACTAGTTGTTACTGGTTAAGTAAGTAGACTGCTGTGGGCCTCAGTTTCTTGGCTAATATTAACACCTACTTTATAGTATTACTGCAAAGGTTACATAACTTACTTTGTGTAAAGTGCTAGAACTGTGCCTAACACAGAGAAATGCATTGTAAAATTCTTGGCTGTTATCATCCTTAACATCAGAAATGTACAGCTCTAGGAACAGAACTTTAAGCACTACTTACTACAACCACTGAAGGAACAGGTTCCTTGAGGCTGCTTAGTTCTATCCTTAGGACATATTAAAAAATCACTGCATCACTTTCTGTTGTGCATTCTAATGATTTCATCCTTCCTATAGGTCTCCATGTACTCTGTGCTCCAGTTATCCATTTATTCCTCTCCCTCTGGACTATAAATGACTTGAGAACAGGGCCTGTTTCTTACCTTGTAGTCTCAACATTTAGTGCAAAGTCTTGCATAAAATAGACGCTCTATAAAAAATGAAACAATAAATATTAGCTACTTATCTGACTGCCTCACTCAAGTTAAGCTCCTGAGGACAGAAGCTGATGGATGTATATCTTTGCATCCTTATAGAGGTCTTTTGTAAAGTGGCATGTAAAGCCCATGACCTACATTTTTGTATCCAAGTTTCTAATTTATTTTGAATTTTATTTGAATTTATTCATGATGTTTTATTTACTAAAACAAAATGCACTTTGAAATGTAACAATTCTCCTTTTATTCCCTAAAAGCTCTTAGTAGAGAAGGAAATAAAACTTTTCAATGATATTTTTTCGTCCTTCAAGTGATGACCACAGAGAGAGGCAACCAATGTCTGCTGCCTGACCTCGTCCGTGCTGCCCTGGGTGGAGCCCCTGTCGGGGGCGCATCCCTCAGAACCTTGCCAGAACAAAGCCCTTCCTCAAAAAGAGTCACCTTTGGACTGCTGTACAGATTTCATTCAGTCAGCACTGTTTCCTAACTCTTTCACAATTATAACGTTCATTATTTCAAAATTCTCTCTGCCCACCCAGCTTGTGATCATGCCCAGTTCAGTTTACGACAAACAGCCACCTTGGGCAGCATTCTATTGCTGATCTTGTAAAACATGAATTTGGTGCTGGCAGCCTTTGTACCACTTAGCAGCTCATCAATGAAAGATCTTCTGTGAGACCTCCAGCCTGATATGAGTGCTACCACACAGGGGGCCTACCTCCCAGTACCCTCAATCTCAAGACATGCACATATCCCAATGAAAAGGGTAATAACCTAGTAGGAGTCTAGATAAACGCCTTAGTTTCCTCAGGGGAAAACAGTGATTTAACATTCCTCTGAGTCACTCTATTACCAGATTACTTCCAGGTGTTATAATTGGGCCTCTCCACCACAACATGTTGTCACTTACCTAATATTAGGTCAGAGCATAAATACACAAGTCACATATGATCCCTTCTTTGTATTCTCCTTACTCAACGTAGTAAGATAACTGATTTATTCCTCTTGACTTTATAAGATGAAATAAATCTGACTTCTTTGCTTAATGATATTAAATATAAAAATGCTGTCAAATTGACACTTCCTTGCTATCCCTGGTGCTCTTGGTCGGTCTAGGGAATTTTAAAGTTACAAAGGATCTTAGAGAGTCATCTTTCTCATTTAATATTTCTAGCCTGAGGCCCAGAAAAGTTTTGGGTTTGCCATGGAGAGAGAGAGAGAGAGAGAGAAAGAGAGAGAGAGAACACCAAAGCTAGAACAAAGGTCTTCCTCCTCAGCCCGTGTGCTTTCCACACGCAACACTAAATGAGTGTCTTGCCAAGAACCTCACCCTAACCCATAGTCCTGAAGAGACTGTTCTCTTTCACCTTACTCTCTACGTCTTCGTAGTCCAGCTACATAATTACCTGCCAAAAAAATATGAGGAATACCAGTCTCCCTTCTCTAAGGAGAACTTAGGAACATCACTGTTTTCTTAAAGACATTACTCCTAGCAACTGCTACGGGCTTCTTTCTTTCACACTGTTTCCAAGACAAGATTGAATGTCCTCTAAGATCCTGCTTCTGTGAGTAGTCCTCAGGTATATTCTGATAAAAATGGGGAAACTACATATACAAGCACTCTTACTATAGAGAAAGAATGGGGCCCGATGGCCACATGAGAAAGTCACATGACTTGGAGCATTCAAGGTAAGACTAACAGCACATTAGAGACTCAAAGTAGCAAGAGGACAGCTGTCATTGGTCACTGAACAAACATTAACAATGTGTAAGTTCCATGCCCTGTGTTACTTGACATATCACTGATAGGGACATGTTAGAAAATAAGCTTACTAGTACCTAACGTAATATTCCCCACCCCGCCACCATAAAATCCATTAATCCAAGAATCCCAAACATATTCTGAATCTTACACTTTGCTATAGCAAATACCAAATACAAAATTTCACGTTGTAATTTCAAATTAGACTCTCTCTACTCCTTTTTTCCTGGTCTAATAAGCAGGAAAATGACCTGAAAGTGGCAACAGGGAAAAGGAAAAGTGTGTCTATTTTTAAGACAGAATATGGGAATAGATCAAGAAAATTATGAGAAGTAACGTAATATGACACAAGAGTATATTTTAAATTACTTTCTTAAGGTTTATTTTGATATATACTTGGAAAACAATAATTTATTGAAAGTTGTGACAATCTCAGGTTTTCATAATTTTTATCTCTATATAAAAATTAATAAAAAATACTTTATAAGTCATTTCAAATTACAACTCACTAATAGTCTGAGATAAAAATCTCAGGTTATATTAATGAAAAATAAGAAGCAGGTAAGTAAAACTCCCTATTAAATTTCTTATTTCATACTGAGGGAATACAAAGGATACCGTGTCATTCTTGATGTTAATTACAGCTATTACACAGATTTAAGGTTTCAAAAAACTTAAACTATCCCTAGCAGATT